GGAATGTTAAAGGGAGTTCATCACGCTGAAAGAAAAGGATGCTAACTTGTAACAAGAAAACATCTGAAGCCACAAAATTCAATGATAAAAGCATACAGACAAATTTGGAATACTCTCACACTGTAATCATGGTATTTAAACCATGTATATCTTTAGCATGAATACTAAAAGACAAAAAACATTATAGATAATTATAACTACAATAATTTATTAAGAGATAGAGAATATAAAAATTTAAATTGTGGCCTCAAAAATTTTATGTGTGGGAAGAGAAGGGAGTTAAAGGGTATAGTTTTATTTGGTTTTTGTTTGTTTCTTTGCAATTAAAGTTAAGTTGTTACCAGTTTAAAATAACTTGTTCTAACTACAGATGTTTTTCGTAAACTTTATGGTAACCACAAAGCAAAACCTTACAATAAATACAGTAAAAATGAAAAGCAGGAAACATACTACAAGAGAAAAATCATTTAACCACAAAGGAAAACAGAGAAAAAAAGAAAAGATCTACAAAACAACTAGAAAACAAGTAACAAAATAGCATTAGTAAGCCCCTATCAATAATAACCTTGAACATAAATAAACATACCTGCCCAGCAAAAAAAAAAAAAAAACTATTCTAACATTGCACCTCAAGGAACTAGAAAAATGAGAAAAAATGAAACCCCAAATTAGTAGAAGAAAAGAAATAATAAATATTAGCGCAGAAATAAGTGAAAGAGACCAAAAAATCGACACAAAAGATCAACAAAACAAAGACTTAGTTTTTTGAAAAGATAAAAATTGATGAACATATAGCTAGACTAACTACTATGATTTGAATGTGTCTCCCAAATTTCATGTGTTTGAAAATTAAGCCCTAAATTCATATCTGGTGGTATTTGGAGATGGGGCGATTCGGGAGGTAATTAGGATTAGATGAGATCATTAGATTAGTGACTTTATAAGCAGAGAAAGAGGAATGTAAGCTAGCATGTTCTTGCCCTTTTGCCATGTGATACCCTCCACCATGTTATAATGCAACAAGAAAACCCTAACCAGATAGAGCTGCTTGACCTTGAACTTCCCAGACTCCAGAAACGTCAGAAATAAATTTCTTTTGTAAATAAATTATCGAACATGTGGTTTCCTGTTACAGCAACAAAAAAATGGACTAAGACACTAAGAAAAAAAGATAGATGACTCAAATAAATAAACTCAGAGATTAAAAAAGAAGACATTACAATTCATATCATGGTAACACAAAGGATCATAAGAGACTATTATAAATGACTACATGCCAATGAATTGGAAAACCTAAAAGATATGAATAAATTCCTGGACACATACAATCTGCTAAGATTGAATCATGAAGAAATAGAAAACCTGAGCAGACAATAATGAGTAATAAGATTGAATCAGTAATAAAATGTTTCCCATAAAAAAAAAAAAAAAAAAGCCTAGGACCTAATGGTTTCACTGCTGAATTTTACCAAACATTTAAAGAAGAGCTAACCAATTCTTCTCAAGTTATTCTCAAAAAATAGAAAGGAAGAGATTTCTTCCAAAGTCATTCTTTGAGGCCAGAATGACCCTGATGCCAAAATTAGATAAAGATACAAGAAGAAAACTATAGGCCAATATCCCTGAAGAACACACATACAAAAATCCTCAACAAATTATTAGTAAACTGAATTCAGTAGCACAGTGAAAAGATCCTTCACCATGAAAAAGTGGAATTCACCTCAGCTATTGTGGCTATTATCAAAAAGACAAAAAACAAATGCCCTCAATAATGTAGAGAAGGCAGAATTCTTATACACTGTTGGTGGGGATGTAAATTAATACACTCATTAAGGAGATGACAAACATTCTACAAAAAATTGAAAAGAGAACTACCATATGATCCAGCAATTTCACTGGTGAGTATATAGTCAAAGGAAAGGAAAGCAGTATGTTGAAAAGATATCTGCATTCCCATCTTAATTGGTGCACTATTCATACTAGCTAAGATATGGAATCAACTTAAGTGTCCATCAAGAAATGAATGAATAAAATAATTTAGTATATACACCCAATGGATTACTATTCAGCCATAAAAAATGAAAACCTATCATTTGCAACAATATGGATGAACCTAGTAAAAATGATGTTAAATGAAATAAGCCCAGCACAGAAGGAAAAATACTGTATGCCGGTTCTAGTCAGCCATTTTGCTGATGCCACTCTCAGATTTCAGTGATCTTAACATGTTATATAAATATATATCTGTACATACACACACACAGATCAGTCACAAGCAAATGTTGTATTTCATCAAATGCTTATTCCGGACTCTTTACCTATTTTAAGAAATCAATTTTTAAATGAAGTTTCATTTGTGTTAAATTGAGCCCTCTGAAAAGGAATAACAAGTCTCTATGCATATGTCATCTTCATTATGTTCTCTGAAGTCTACAGAATGAAGGTAATTCCATTTCCACTAAATAAATGCATGAATACATAGGTTGAACAGCCTCTTCTTCTTGGAATACTTTCCTATCTTGGCTTCCATTACTTCATACTCAGCTGGTCTTCCCCTACCTCACTGGCTACTGCTTCTCTTTCTCCAGCACACTGGCCTCACCTCCTCTGTTGGATTTCTAAATATTGAACTGTCCCAAGGCTTGGTCCAAGGCCCTCTACTCAGCTCACTTTATCCCATCTCTTCCTGTCTTCATCAAACACTCAATTTGGATAATATTTATTGAGTGTCTACTATATGCCAGATACTGTTGTAGGTACTGGAAACAGAACAGTGACTAGGCGGACAAAGACTCCTTTATAAAGCCTGCATTCTCATGGAAGAGAAGATGAGCAAACAACCACCAAGTGAATTCATAACATGATGTCAGGTAATGGTATTGCTATTAAAAAAACAAAGCTGTGTAAGCAGATAATGATGATGGTGCTATTTTTAAACACGACGTCTAGCAAAGGACTCTCTGAGGAGGTGACACATCTAGGGAAAGTGGACTGTGAGAAACAGGAGTGAAGGACGACTCCTGGTACTTGATTGGAGAGACAGGAAGAATGATGGTGTCTTTTATTAGATAAGGAAGATAGATGATTTAGGAGAGCAAAACCAAGAACTCTGTTCTCAACATGAAGGGGTTATATGGATACATTAAGAGGTTATTTAGATACATTGTTTCTTTTGTGCATGATTCCCTTTGCAAGTCTCAAGGATGCTCCCTGAGGACCAGGCTTCTGAGAGGGTCTCACCTGCCACTTCCTAGACCAGATAGCTTCTATCACCCTCACCAGTTTACAATTGTCCATAATCTCTATAGCTACCGTTATCTATAATAATAAAATATGGTTATTTGTTTGGCTGTTTACTTGTCTGTCTTGTTCATAGCTGCATCCTCAGGGCTTTTTACTTGTGTCTGTCACAGAATGAGGGCTTAGTGAATAATGGTTGAGTGAACAAGGGTGGGTCAGTCCTCTGGAGAAGTCAGAACACTTGGTTCTAGTTTGAATTCAGCTATGCACATAAGCCTATAGCTTTGGGCAAGTCATCTCTACGGTGTTTTCTCAATTTCAGAAGTAGTTTGATGGGATTATTTTTAAAGGCTAATTTGTCCACTTTGAAATAACATTTAAAATCCAGAATTGTTATTTAGTCTGACCAGACCTCATTTTTATAACAACAATGCAGAAGGAATTTCTGACAGAGAATGAGTGCAAACTATTGCGTATGGGAAAATTTACCATGGGGATATTGAAGGTTCTGCATTCCCACTCCTGGCCCTTCTAAGTCCTCAGTCTCCGGTAGCCATACATTTGCCAGGCTCACTCGAGGAGCAGGAGAAAACAGCTGGAAAGAAAGGAGACGTGAAGGAGATCATTCTCTGGAACATTACTGAGCACCTATCAACCAGTACAGTGAAAGCCTTTTCAGATTTTCTATTATAGTTCACATGTATCCAAGGGTAACTTGGATATTAAGGCATATCTTCACAAAACCCTGTGAGGTAGCCATCACTCCCTTTTCACTGATGGAGAAAATGAGGCTCAGGGAGATGAACTGATTTGCTCTACTCTAGACAAGTGGCAGAAAAAAAATGAACTCTGTATCTGTCTCCCACACCACTGTGCTTTGCTCTGTAAGGTGGATTCCTGCAGCCCAGGGAAAATTCTCTTGGGCATAGTCAGTTTCCAGTGGATTCAGATATATTTGTTGAATTAACAAATGAAAATCAATTGGATTTAAAAAAAAAAAAAACACTCTCTAGAACCCAGTGTTCAAGAAACTGACAATTTACTTTCTAGTTAATCTAGGAAATCCTACTGCAAAGCTAATTACTGTGTAATTAGATACACAGTTAGGTGAGACTAATGCCACAAAAAAATACCACCTTGTTTACAGAGGCAGGAAAGATTTCTTTTCTGAAATAAGAGCTCCTAGGTAAGGAAGAGAGAGACGCCAGGAAAAGCCATTCCCTACATAACCATCTATTGGAAGGTCCTCCATTTCCCTTGCTTTTTCTTCAGCAATTTTTGAAAAAATCACTTCGTTAAGAAAGCTCTTTCTACAATGAAAGGAATTTTCTTCCCACAAAGGTATCCATCCTTATACTAGAAGATGTGAAAGACACATAGGTAATACCCTATGTGCACATCAGACCTCACTGTGCACACACAAATGAGGATATTACCTATGCCGCCGCATCGATATGTAAAGCTGTGAATATGAATCGTAGCGTTAGGCATGACTCTGAATAACTTGTTTTATTTGGGGGGGGGGGAAGGTTAACATTAATAGAAAGCCAGAGGAATGAAAAACAATGCAGATGGGTGTACTTCTTTTCTCTCCCAGTCCCACGCCAACCCCTTTTTCCTTGGAATGCAAAAATGATCTGAAAAGAAGAGTGGGAGTCCTGTGAATAGAGCAGGAACCTTCTTTTTCTTCTCCACCAATAAAGGATGACAAATGTGTACAGTGAGAAACTAAAACGTCAATAAAGCAATATCATAAATAGAAAAATAAATAACGTTTATTTTATTCAAGGCGGCTGTCAGTGTCGGGAGCGCCAGGGGGAAGGCCGGGCCCACAGGGCAGCAGGAGGGCGCCCAGCGGCAGCTCGCCCTGGCCCAGCAGGCGGCCCCGCTCCCAGCCGCGGCGCTCGTTGCGAGCCTTGACGCGAACCGCCAGGCTGCGCACCTCGTCCTCCGAGAGGCCGTCGAAGCAGAAGTCCTGGTCCAGGGCGGCCTTGCGGCTGCGCCCCACGACGGCGCTGCATTGCCGGCGCGCGGTGCCCGGCGGCCGTAGCACGAGGCTGAGGCGGCAGCGGAGCGCGCGGGGCACAGGGGTGCCTCCGGCCAGGCCCTCGGCGCGGAGCAGCCGGAGGCGGAGGCGCCCGGTTCCCGGACAGTACTCGGCGGCCAGGCGCAGGGCGTGGCCGGCGCGGCCCAGAGCCACGGTGCCCTCGGCCTCTAGGCGCTCGGGAAGCGCGGCCCGGGCCGACGGGGGGCTCGCGGAGGGGGCCCGGGCCGGGGACTGGGAGCCTGCGCGGCGCTCCTCAGCCTCGTTCCCGCTGGAGACGGAGCGGGCGCGGGCCCGGCGGCGACTCCTTCCAGCCCGCAGCGCGCGGCTCAGCAGCCCGTTGGGGGCGCGCAGGAGGCGGCAGCCGCGGAGCCGCGGGGCAAGAGCGTCCTGGGGCGGGCGGGGACCACCGGGGGCCGCCGGAGTGGCCGGCAGCGGAGCTCGCTGGCCTCGCAGTGTCCCCAGGGGGGCGTCCGGGCCGCCGCCGCCGCCGCCGCCGTAGGTGTGGGCCCGGGGCCGGGGCGCGGGCGGGCCCCCGAGCAGGAGCGACTCCTTGCGGCGCGTGTGCGGGCTCTCCAGCAGCGCGCAGAAGCCGTAGGCGGTGCGCACACGCGGCAGATGCGGGAGCGACAGCGCAGCCTGCGAGGAGGGGTCCCAGTCCGTGTGTCTGGCGACCTCATCTGCCGCGCGAGGCCACAGGTCGGGTTCGGCGGCGCAGCGCCTGGGCAGGACCGCGGCCCGGGGCGCAGAGTCGAGCGCGCAAGGCGGCGGTAGCCGCGGCGGAATGCAGAATTCGGGGATGCGATGCGGCGTGAGCACTCTGGCGAAGGCGGGCTCCGGCGCCGAGCTGCCTGCGGCCGAGGAGCAGAGTTTCTCGAGGAGCCGCATCCTTGGAGGCTGGGACTGGGAGTGGCGGGAAGAAGTGCGCCTGCGGGGGAGAGAAGCTGCTGAGTTTGGGCACCTGGAGCTGCTGGAACCTCTCGACGCGGCTGGATCCCTCCTCTGGACCCTGTTAAGGTCCCGACGTGTTTAAGACCCTGGAGTAGTTCCAGCCTTGCTCCCCGGCACCCACAAATCAGCCCCGCTTCTGTTCTTTGGTACTAAATAAACGAGTAAGTAGAAATCAGACCTTTCTCTCTTCTTCAGTGTTCCCGGATCTTTTTGCAAGCTCAGTGCCAATAGCTCCTAGCCCGCTGCTGGGGCACCAGCTTCAGTACTGCGGCCGGGAGAGTGGCGCTCCCCTCTTATGCCATAGGCTGAGTCCCGCCCACCCGCCGCGGCCCAATCCCAGAGGCGCTGCACAGCCCGCCTTCCCGCCACCCTCTCCCACGACGCCGGGGACTCTGCACTGGGCGCTCAGGTTTGCGCGAAGCTGTCGCGGGAGCGGGAACCTCTTGGTCAGCTCTGACCTGCATATGCAGTGAGTGCGTGGAGCCTTAGACAAGGCCTGGGAAAGGCTGCAGGTGAAGAGAGGGTGCCCTGTCGTCCTGCCAAGGAAAAATTGACTGCTGAAAATGTTTACGGCTTCTTGGAGAAGGTGAAGCAGGATGAGGAAACAGGAAGTTAATTTGGCTAGTAGATAAACCGTCACTCACCCTGCATGTGACCTGCACGTCCTGGGAGCTTCTGTTTTCCTGTCCCCACGCACTCGCAATGTGCAGACCAATATGGTTTCCAAGTATTCATATACTGTGGTTTTTTTAATAGCATAGGCCCTGGCTCAGTCCATGCCCTAAGTATTGGTGAAATGGGTAAATGAATCTTTGAGAAAATTTCGGATCGCTTCTCGGCCTTTTGGCTAAGATCAAGTGGAGAGAACTTCTGAATGGCTGCTGGCTCTGCCTGTCATCTTGATAGTCACAAAACATGGGGCTTCTGGCTCGTGCCCTAAAATAACACTTGATGTTTTTAAAGCTACCCTTTTTCTTTTTGCTCTAGCATGGAGGTATCCAGTTAGAGAGCATCTTCCAGAAATCTGGATTCCTTCTTTCCACCCCTGACCTTCATTTTCTGAGATGAGAAGACTGAAATCCCAGAGGGACCTGAGGAAATTCCAGAAAGGTTAAAAAGAGCCAGTTAATGGTAGAAGCTGGAGCTAGCAATTTCCTGTTTCTGTGGCTTTGCAGGTCATGCTTCCTGTGATCTGAAATGCTTTTTCTCTGCTTTTTCTTTATATAAGAACTCCTGCTTATTTTCTGTAATTCAGCCCACACATCATCCCTTTCAGGTGGCTTCACCCAACTCCCCTGCTCCAGTTCCTCAGCCCCTGCTCATTTCCTTCCTACATTTTCTTGGGGCCACCATTGTTGCAGTTCACATGCTGCTTTGGAATTTTTGGTTTACAGTTTTATCTCCCCTCATAGACTTGTGGGTTTTCAGTGGGCAAGGACTGGGGCAGCTCAACCAGAGAGGGATTTCAGGAGTCTATTATGAATATATGAAAAATAAAAGTCCGAAGATCCAGAACTGAGACTGCCTCCATCTCAGTTGCCTTATTCAGGGTATAAGCCTGCCTGTCTTATTCATCTCCTGTGTAATTCTAGCACCCAAGATACAATGCCAAGCAGATAGTAAGGGCTTAGTAAATATTTGATGAGTTGTATTAAATTGATACTGATCTGCAGGTCTCATGACTGTCAGATGCTTTCAACCACATATGTAATTTGATTTCTTTCTCACAAAAAACCAATAAGGAAAACATTGTTTCTGTTTCCCATATGAAAAACTGAGAGACTTGTCTGGCGTCATTCAAGCTATGATCATAGCCTACATAGCCTGACTCCTAGCTTTGTTCTTCTTGTTGTTGTTTTTGAGACAGTCTCACTCTGTTGCCAAGGCTGGAGTGCAGTGGTGTGATCTTGGCTCACTGCAACCTTTGCCTCCTGGGTTCAAGCAGTTCTCTGCCTCAGCCTCCCAAGTAACTGGGATTACAGGCGCCCAGCACCACGCCCAACTAATTTTTTTTTTTTTTAATAGAGATGGGGTTTCACCATCTTGGCCCGGCTGGTCTTGAACTCCTGACTTTGTGATCCACCTGCCTTATCCTCCCAAAGTGCTGGGATTACAGGCATGAGCCATCACACCCAGCCAAGTCCTAGCATTTTGGCTAATTTCTTCTAATTCATTTCCTTCTGTCTTCTTTTCTTCCATCCTTCCTCCAGTTCACTGAATTTACTGTGTATCAGACACTGTGTGATTTGTATCACCCTTTACAAAACAGTCTGCCTAAGCAGTTAGACAAACAGTCTGCCTAAGCAGTTAGAAGTTTAGCTACTTGGGAATAGTGCCTGGGTCAATTTCTGAACGAAAAGACAGAACACGCTGTTTCTGGTTTCACTAGTTAAAGGTTTTGTGATAATGGCCGTATTCATTCCCTAGGGCTTCTGCAGCAGAATACCACAAACCGAGCAGCTTCCAATAACAGATCTTTATGGTCTCACAACTATGGAGCCACAAGTCCGAAATGAAGGTGTTGGCAGGGCCATGCCCCACTTGAAGCCTGTAGGGGAGCATCCTTCCTCTCCTCTTCCTAGCTTCTGGTGGTTTGCTGGCAATCCTTGGCCTTTCCTGGCTTGCAGCTGCAGGATTGCAAACTCTGCCGGCACGCTGTGTTCTCCCCTCCTGTGTCTGCATCTCTGGATCCCGTAAGGACATAAGTGATACTGGATCAAAGGCCCACCCTACTTCAGTATGACCTCATCTTAACTCATAACCTCTGCAAAGACCCCGTCTTCCAGTAACATCACATCTTGTGGCACTGAGGATTATGTCTTCAGCATGTCTTTTGGGGAGACACAATTCAACCCATAAAAATGGCTCAGTCACATCTTCTCTGATCCATCTTTCGGCAATGGCTTTCCCACCCAACTCTAGGGTGGACAGGGGCAACTTCAGGAGCTAAACAAGGAAAAAAGGAGTCCTCAGAAAAATTAAGCCATCTATCCCCAGCACAGGAACCAGAGGGCACTTCCCTACCTCTGTGTCTGGGATGAGAATATTAACATCGTTTCCTCCCCTGAGGAAACAGAAAAGTAGCCAGCTCAGTTAGGGTTGTCACCTTCCTGAGGTTGCTCCACATTGGCTCACAGCCAACAGCTGCTGCTTAAGAAATAAAATCCCCTCATCATAAATAAGGAAATTGCTGAATAAGACTGGAATTTCAAGAGAGGAAATAGGTTATACTCATTTTCCCACTCCGTAACAAAGAGGACACGGGTGGCTTCATGGAGAGGCTGCACACCAAATGTGTCAGTACTAAGAGTGGCAGTGAGGGTCCCAGGCCAGCACAGCATGAAGGGCACCACAAGAAATGCCCACCTATAAGACCGCTGAAGCTGGGCAGCACCTATCCACCTCCCCACCCACTTTTTCTCAGATCACAGGCCTGGGATCTCGGTACAGTCCCAGATGCCTGGGTCTCCTTCCTCATAACTATATACTAAGTTAACTTTAAAATTTTGCCCAGCTCTTGTTTTTTTTCTTTAACTGGAATACTAAAGAGATATAATGATCTATTTCAAACAAAGCTATTTGTCTTAGTATTAAAAAAAAAAAAAAAAAAAAAAAACAGGGTTGAAAACAAGCTCAGGGTCTACCCCTATCAGAATAGTCAAACCACCAGAATTCATGCATGCTCTGGTATAATCTTCAACTGATTAAAAATTTGAAGTCACACATACTAATTTTAAAAAGCCAATTCCAACACATGCTAAGAGGGAAAAGATGCAGCTTTTCTGCTCTAGCTCTGCTGTGGTTTGATTCTTCGTCCCTTGCAAAACTCATGTTGAAATTTCATTCCCAGTGTGACAGTATTGAGAGGTTAGGCCTTTTAAGAGGTGATTGGATTGTAAGGGTTCTGACCACGTGAAGGAATTGATCCATTCATGGACTAATGGGCTATCATAGAGTAGGATAATGGCTCTATGAAGAAAGGGAGAGAGATCTGAGCTAGCACACTTAGAAAGTTTGCTATATGATACCCTGGGCCACAGTAAGAAGGCCCTCACTAGATGCAGCCCCTCAACCCTGGGCCTCTCTTAGCCTCCTTAACTGTAAGAAATATGTTCGTGTATATATATATATATATATATATATTACCCAATTTGGGGTATTCTTTTGTAAGCAACAGAAAACTAAGATAACCTCTATATATTTTTTTATGTAGCAGTATCCCATTTCTTTCTTTTTTTTTTCTTTTTTCTGAGATGGAGTCTTGCTCTGTTGCCAGGCTGGAGTGCAGTGGCGCAGTCTCAGCTCACTGCAACCTCCGCCTCCCAGGTTCAAGTGATCCTTCCGCCTTAGTCTCCTGAGTAGCTGGGACTACAGGCGCGTGCCACCACGCCCTGCTAATTTTTGTATCTTTAGTAGAGATGGGGTTTCACCATGTTGGTCAGGATGACCTCATGATCCGCCGGCCTCGGCCTCCCCAAGTGCTGGAATTACAGGCATGAGCCACTACTCCCAGCCTTATTTTTTTTTTGTAAATGACCATGTAAATGAATAGAAGACCTGAGAAAGGTTCACCTTTCTGAAGATACAGCTATGAGTGTGCCAGTAGTATTAGGGTAATCTTTTATCTGTATTGCCAGAATCTTTCAAAAGGACAAATTCATGTATATTTTGTATTATTATTTAAGTCTGTGGTCTGCAACACAGAATATAAAGCTGCTTCATACCTTCTGTGTGTGCAAGGCACAGAGCAGGATTCTGAAGAGAAAGTCTGCCATTCCCTGCTTGTCAAGCCTCCTCTCCAAGCCTGTGATCACCCTCCTTTTTAGCAGCATTCTGAAAATCCCCTGCTGGGATGGTCTATCTTGGAGAGACTGTCATCAACTACTACAAATTTATTGCTACCTTTCTCCTATTAGAATTTATCTGCCCCATTCTCTTTTTGTTTGTCTTGCTTTCTTTCCCCGACAGTGAAAATGATATGAAGTGTAATTAAGTGCTATTTCCAAAGGCCTCTAAAAATAAAGCATAAAGCAACCAATAACATCATATGAGAATAAATCAACAAGTTGATAAGTCATTTTCTGCTAAAAAATATGAACTGGCTCAATGTACATAAAAATCAGATGTAACAGAGTATCTGTTTTGGGTTGCTTCAGATGTGAGATACAGGTGATGCTCCAGAAGCCAACAGCATCCCCAAACACCCCAAAACACAGGCATGGAAGATGTCTCCATACTTTTTCTCTGCTGTGCTGACAGTCCCCTTAGA